GCAGAAACTAGCAGAACACATACCTCTCTTGAATTGTTTTTCTCTGTTAACATAGTTTTAAAGTATGTAGTTGTATGGCTTCAAAATAGCTTCTTATGATAAAATAGGTTTGTGGCTTTTTAGTGTTGAAGGTTTCAATTCTTTTGGCATGGAAGCTTCTTATACTTCCTATTGAAATAGAAAATTCATAACTTTAAGAGGTATTTTAAGTGTACAAAATATAATAGTGTGTGCAGTCCTGTACACAAATCCTTATATAGCTGTTATACAGAAAATCCAGATCTAGACCCTCCAGTTTCATTCTAGAACACATGGTTTCAGCTGATGGCAAACATGTGGCTATGTTGTTTCATACCATATTGCAGACACAGAGGGTATACTCACTGCAGCTTTGATAAGTGAGACTGTGGATGCACGTAAATAAAAGCTTAGTCAACTTGCAGATCTCATTTTAGAGAACTGTTAGCGATTTTAGAAGTCAAAAGCTCTTTTAATTGCAACTGCTTGTGATACAGCAATAAGTTTCTATAGTTTTGAATTTCTACTAAGGTTCTGAGTTGGTAGCTGCAAGTTTAGTTCCAACTGGTCTGTATCTACTGTTCGGATTGTAACTTGTTTGTCGCGTTGATGAGTAGTTAAATATGGGTTTAGAACCATATGAAAAATGGAATTGAACTTTGATCATTAAACTGTATTTTAATGACTGCAAAAGCAAACTATTGTCATCTGTGTTCATTATTTTTAGACCATTAAGTTAAAGATTATAGCGTAAAAGCTGGCTTTTACGCTCAAGTTAACACCTTTACAAGACTGTGTTCCTGTCATAGTCACAAAACTATTCCTTAAAAAGAAAAAAATTTGGGGTGAAGAAAAATCAAGTTGCCAAACCCAAGAGCCTTCAGAATGGAACTGGGATACTTTCTTAAGAGTCTTTAAATCAACTCATTCTATAGGGGGTGGAAAAAACGTCAGTGCTTTACTGACATTAATTGTTTTGGGGGATGGAGCTGTGAAAAATACTGGACAACTGAGTTGCAGAATTCTCCTCATAGAATTTTGACTTCTTCTGTCATTATTCTCTCCCAGGCAAAAACTTTACATTTGTTTTCAGTCATAAAACAGAGGAAGTAAGCCTGAAAAGAAGTTCAGAGAGGAACTGAAGTTCAAAAATGTTGCCATTTGAGATGACTGATATTTAGGGGATTCAAAATGTTTTTTGATTCCTGTAGCTGTTCAAAAACCCTCAAGTTCTGGAGAAATCTGACTTAATTTAGCTTGTGCTTGCGGTTTACCCCTTCGTGTGTTACTAATGTGTCTGTCCTCTGTTTAAAAACATTGTGTCAGTGATGGCTGATCTACAGACAATAATAATGCTGATTTTTTTTTTTGAATTATGCTCTTACATGCAAGTATTCTACCCCAAGTAGGAAACATGTTTGGTCCAAATAGTTTGTTTTGACTTTGTCAGAGGAACTTTAGAGTTATCCTTTCTGTTTTGTGTTAGTTGAATCAGTTTTGGTCCTAGTGAAATCTTTATGGATAGCAATAATTTATTCTTTAAGTAATGGGAGTTTTAAGGTGTTTGCATTTCTGATGCTCACTGCACAAACCTTGAGACTGGGAATGGATCTTTCAAGTCTATACAGTTTGTATTAGTGAATTTATTCCAGGTAAGCTCAAATGTTTTGAGTGAATAACCTTCCTGTGAAAGTACTGCCCATGGTGGCCTGACAGGCTGGGAGGTGGGTGATGTTCTCATGGAGTCTTCAGCCTGTTCTAAATCGTGTGACTAAGCAGGAGTTTTGTCATGGTTGTGATACCTGTTAAATTCTATAGCCCTTTCACTGAGTCATTGATTCATCTTCTGAAATTTAAAATTATAATACCACCTCTTTTCATTATTTTTGAAGTTAATGCAGCATTTAACCAGTATGATTTCAATTGCTTTTAACTTAGTAGCCAGTATCCTAATCAGAAAGAGACAGGTAACATTTATTATGGACAGTGGTATAGCTGACTGAACTGCAGATTAAGTTACTTGTCATCTTGAGTTTTAGGATCCATTAATAACTAAATGATTATAAGTTCATCTCCCTGAATTTTTATTTATTGTTTTTAGCTTTTATTTAGGCAGTGTGCATGCAGACAATGAAAATCTTCTGTGTACCTGCACGGTTTTCTTGATTTTCCTTATGTCTCATGATTTCGATCAATGGGAAACTGAGATGACTTGGAAAAAAAATACTATTGTCAGGTATTATTTCATGTTCTTGATATTTGAAGGTGTACTGGGAAGGCAAAATTTAAATTTGATTATTTTATTAAATGGTTTCTGTGGATGATGATGGGTTTTGGGGAAGGCATTCTTGTAAATAGGCTTTGTATTCACATTGGTTTACCACAGATGTTGGACACCTCAAGAAGTGTTATGTTTACAACTCTAGCAAGAGAGATTTCCTCAGAAAGAGGTGCTGGTACCACTTGGATTTGGCACCAATGCCATAGGCAGAGAGCCTGCCTTGAGTGTCAGTAATGTTGGTGACAGCTTAGCATGGAGTCAGGAACGGGCACATGGAGTTCCAAAGCAGTTCCAAGCAAGGGATCGTGTCCTTCCACTCAGCAAGCTTAGTCATGTAACAAAAAAGACCAAAATGCCTCCCTGCAAATGTTTTCAACCCTCCCACAGACAACAGGGAACAAAGCACATCATGAGCAAGGGACAGGAGCAACCCTGAGCTGTGGGTAGACAGCAAGGCTGTTTGTCTCACAGTGTGGTCAGAACTACTATGCAGAACTGCTGCTGCTTCTCATCCTGCACTGCCAGCACAAGTCAATATTCCAGTGCTGGACACATGCTCCTGTGGGTGTGCTACTCTTCTGCAGGTTTAACATCTCTTCCATTTCATCAGAATAAAAGCTCTTGGGGGATCCTGGAAGCCCTCCACAGAAGCGTAGTTCCTTTGGATTCATTGGCCCTTGGTTTGGTTATCTTTGCCTTTTTAGAAGTCTAAAAATTACATCAAGCTTCCATGAAGGAGTCACGTGCTCTTTCAGTGGGGATACTGTGACTGCAGCACATCAGTGGATCAGAGTTTTAGGGATTTGCTCTTCTCTGATACCAGTTTCCAGCATGTTTGCAGCTTGCATCACTGCAAGTGGATTGTTTTGTAGTTTATATCCACTTTGCAACAGGAAACTACAGCTATTCAGTCACCTCTTCAAGCGGCTCTTGAATCCAGGAATCTTGTGATCCTGCTTCTCTCCTGAGTCCTTTGGCTGCTTTGATGCAATTCTGCACTCCTGTGAGGGATGCTGCTGGTTGTTGCTGATTTTGTTTTGTCTTTGACATGTGGAGTCCTCAGTTTCATTGGTTCAGTCTAGTGACAACTGTTAACTGACTTCCAAGTTGGAAGCTTATAACTCCTTATACTAATCTAGGGTTGCACAAAATCAGGACCACTGCTTTTATCTGTAACAGCACTTCTTTGCGGTGTCATAAATTTGTTTATACTGTGGGAAATGCTGTCTTGGTGAGAAGATGGAAATATTGTGTAAGCCTTGTCACAGAGAGTTCAAAATACAATATTCTGGCCTCATTAAAAATGTAGCTATGTTAAGCAAAATAAACAATTGAAAAGGTGACCTGCTGGCAACTGGACTAGTGCTGCAAAAAAGTTGTTTTACTTGCAGCAGTCTTAGTCGTGCCATGGCTTTGTACAAGCAGTTCCAGTGGATCTTAAGGTCTGTGTGGAATGAAGCAGTGGGGGTCTCAGGGTTGAGAGGACAGTTTACAGGCATGGCTGGTATAGCAACAGTTCAGGGATAACCTTTACTGAAAACTGGGAGCACTTTGTGTAAAACATGCAGGAAGATGATGAATTCTACCTATTAGAAATATTTTCCTAGTTTTAATCAAGATGACAATACTCAGTGCCTTCCTCTTGGTTTCAGCACCCAGGAGCCTGTTTTAAAGACTATATGTGATAATTACAGCTTCAGTCCTAGGTTCTTAACTCAGTGATTTGTAAACTTTTCCAGAGTTAAATAAATTTAAACTATAATGTATATTTCAAAGGGGTGTAGTCTTTAGATTTATCATTCCTGGTAAGTCACTTAAATAAAGAGATCACTTTTCTTCCAGTAGAACAGAATCCCACAAATAGTTAATACCTAACTTGCAGTGATTTGTTATAGAAAATGTTGGCATTTTTAAGAGGAGTAATATATTTCAATGAAAAAAAGCAGAAAAGCTTTTTGAATTCAAATGTGCAGTTCCTTTAATCTAAAATGGTGTTATGAATCTTTGGCTTTGGCTAGATGATTCTGAATTTCTCTAGATGCAGTCTAAAAATAAAAAGGTGAATTTTCTAACAAGTCATCCTGGGAGTAACAAGGCCTTAGAAAATAAATCACTGTTCCTTTTTCTCTATGCATTTTCATGGTTTGTATCAGCTGTAATACAGTTATAAGTGACTTGCAATAGTTAATATAGGACTAATGAGAGCCCTTAAAATTATACTAAATTTTCAAGACCTAAAGAAAAGTTGATATAGGAAACAGTGTTGAAAGCCTGTGGCTGTAGCAACTGAAGTTATCCTAACAGAGGAGGAAAGGATTTTATTTGTTCACTACCCATGAAAAGTGGGAAACAAAGTTCTGTAACTTTTTTCATATATAATGTTGAAAAAGTCTTTCCCATTTGAAATGAGGAGTATTTCAGTGTCATTTTTTGGTGTTTTTCAAAACCAGTTATTTAAGTTAACTATTAGTGATGTAGATTCTTACTGATTTTTCTGGACAAGAAATTACTACATAAATTTATGTAGTTACAGTGTATTACACTATGTTGATGTGTTTTGTTGTTTTGTTAGTGTGTTTGTTCTCCCAGAGGAAAAAACAAATTCCTGTAGAAAGGAAATAGGAGGCAAAGTCTGAAATCTAAAATAAGGACTAAACAGCTTTTCATTTGCTTTTCTACCCTTTGAGATGCCAGAAGCAATTTCCTCTTGAAGCTGACTTCCTCTCTGGAAGTGATTTTCGTCTCCAACCATGTTGAGGCTCTTTTCTCATTCTTTCATTCTGACTAACTTGCTTTTTTCCCCTCTGACATCCTACTGCAGTTGGGAACTTCTGGAGGTAAGTAATGACAGACAAGTTTCTCTCTAACTTTCTTTTTCAGTTCTTCTTCCCCCCCCTCTCCTGCCCCCCCTCACCCAGTCAGTCTAGAAGGACAAACAAAGCACTATTGGTGTCCTCTGCAAGAGAGCACTGATAGGGGCTGGCTGTAAATTGACGTGGCATGGAAAATCTCTGCTAGTTTGGAGCAGCTCTAATGTTGCTGCGAAATCAAACCTCCTCTTAACCAAGTTTGTAGCTTGAAATCATCGCGGGCTTACGGGTTCTATATTAAAAATGAATGGAAAGTACCTTCCCTTTTCTGTTTGGGAACTGGATTTTTTCTCTCTTTGGATTTACAGCTAATAGACAACAAAATTCAAAGGGAATTATTTGGTTACTTTTTCTTTTTCCTGTAGTAAGAGCGACAGATCTTGCTGCTCCCCCCACCTTTTCCTGCAACTTAATCATTTGCAGATCTTGCCATGGGGTGCGGACTGAGAAAGCTGGAAGACCCAGATGATAGCAGCCCTGGAAAAATCTTTTCTACCCTGAAGAGACCACAAGTTGAAACAAAGACGGATTCTGCTTATGAATATGTGTTGCTGGATTTTACTTTAGAAGGTATTTTTTTTATGCTGTGTGTTTACTATTCTGAGATAAGGGACGGCATTTAACTTAGCTCTGTCTTGTTTGACTTACAGTAAATCTTAGATGCTTTTAGCCCAGCCGGCCAAAATGTAAGACTCTTATTTTGAAACACAAATCATGACGAAGGTCCTCACTTATATAAAATTACAGTGGAAACTACCGAAGTATTTTTAACAACCCAAACCCTCCAAATTACACAACTGTCCTTGTTAAGGAAGCAGGCTAAAACTGTTAGAGATTTTCCTAGTTTCCTGTGAGTCAGATACTGCCATCCGTACTCACTTTGAATAATGGTGGTCTGAATTCAGTGTGACGGTTCAGAAAATACACTGTGCCCGAACCTTAATTGAATAACAGGTTTTTTTAAATGCACTCAACTTCTGAAAACAGGCTGTCATTGTCCTTGTTACTTTATGCAGAAGTAAGTCTGTTCCTTAGTTGTATACTAGGAGTAACTTCCCCTCTTATGCCCACCCCAGACTGTCTGTAGATGTTTCTGTAAGGCTCTTAGAGTTTCATCTTACTATTTTTTTTCAAGTGCTTTACTTGTAGTTGTTGAATAGTCTTTTGAAATCGTGACTGAAATGAAACAAAATCTGTATGCATAGCTAGAGGCAGACAGTGCTCTGTGGGATACTTCCTTCCCGAGGGTGTCCCGTCTCTAACAGAGCAACTCCCTGTTCCACAAAGTTGAAAACATAAACAAGCCCAGATGGCTGCCCTCGGAGAACAGACAGCTCAGTTTTGCAGTCACTCTATAGTAACTTGCATTTTAGAACAACTCAGTCTACTGGCAATGCTTAATAACAAGGATTTGAAGTCAATGCAGTTGCTAGAAGGGTTTGATAAAGGGAGGAAGTGTAAGTCTTACTGCAATTTCAGGAACTTTGTCATAAACAAAACTTGGCTTCTGCTTAGTTTTATCTCTAAATTAAAGGACTCTGGTAACATTCTATTTAAAATAGAACAGTCTTTTCATTGAAAAACTGCAAGGTACTAAAAGAAGACACATTCTACTAAGTTAAAGTACTGGAAATCCAACTGGTTTTGTTGTTCTGTTTATTTACACGAGGTTTCTTCCTGGCTTGTTGTTTTGAAGAACAAAACTTGTAGTGGTAACATGCTGGAAATAAAGCTAGGCTGCCTAATGCGTCCATGGATTACCTCCTAATCTACTGGTAATAGGAAGGATAACTTTGAGACTGAAGAGCATTTAGTCTTCTTAAATAGCCTGTGTTCTGAATATTCCTGTGTTTTCAAGTTACAGTTTCTGACAGTGTTTTGTAAAGGATCTGTTGTAAAGGTGGCTGTGACTTTATAAGTAAAAGCACATCAAACAACTGCAGATAAAGGTGCATCTCTGTGATTAAATAACCTAGCAGTAAAGATTTATTTTCTCCTGTTTAGTCTGATATTCAGAAATGCTTGACTTCAGTGGCCTGCTGTAGAATTATGAATGTTAAATAAGCAAAATCTGTTTCAGATAGCTACCTAAATCTTTATAGATTTCTGTCTGTAAACAAGTGGATTTGTAAGCACATTCTGTTGAATGTTTCTAGCTTTGTGTATATATGACCTTAACATATTTTTTGCTTGGAGTTACTTTCCTTTATAGAGGTAAGATAATGAATTAAAAAATGGTGTATATACTGTCTTGGAGGCATTTGTGAATTTGGATTGCTTCTGAAATGTGGGGATTGGCTTAAGTATTGTGGAGAATATGTTGGGCTTTTTCTTGTTTTCTTCTGCCTCAGTCAACTCATTCTTGTACTTGTTGCTACTTGAATATCCTTTGGCAAAGTGAAACATCAGTGAGCTCCCTTTATCACTTCACACCAAAGTTTTCACTCTGTCAGGGTGTGTTATATCTTCATGACCCTCCTTCTGTGCCTTGCCAATTTCCAAGCAAGGTCTTCCCCTACAAACATTTGTTTGCCTGAATGATTTGTTGCCACTGTTTCTTGCACCGTGTAAAACAGAAAATCAGCACTTAATAATCTTTAAGATCATCCAGAAAGCTTTGCCCTGCACCAAGATAAAAGTAGAGCGACCCTAAGTGTGTTCCTTCAGTTCAGTCTGCCTTACTCTGTGCTTCATCAGGTATGTGCTGTGTGAAGTGGAAATGAGCCTGCTGGAGAGACTGTCAGCAGTCCCTCATCTTCTCCCAAGCTGTGATGCAGATTAGGTCAACCATGCTGCAATCTAAATTTGCTGGCTGGAGTCCTTGTGCATCTTAACTAGTTATTAGCAGTGCACTGAACCTTGGCTTCTCCCCTCCTGGTCCCCAAAATGTTCCCATCTGTACTGTAAAAAATTAGTTTCATAGAGGATGATCTGCACCAGGAGAATCCCAAGCAAGAAAATTACAGCCCATCTTTTATTTTGGTGGAATTGAATAGTACAAAGAAAAGGGAGCAGTGGACTCTGAAGTGTAATTTTTAAAAGCCTGTCAGTGATTGTATATTCCAAGGTCTGAATCATGAGGCATATCTCAGTTACAGAAACAACTGCTGTTTTTTCAGGTAATTTTAACTAAAAAGTAGGGATAATTTTAATATTCCTACCGAAGCAGAATGTTTTATGCTTTGTCCACAACCCTGCTATTAGGGAAAAGGAGGAACATTGATGCAACCCACTAAGATGACAAGCTGTGAGGTTCTTGTCCCTCTGAATAACATGAATATGTATGAAGTAGCTGTTTTGTTGTCATCTTCAGTGTCCTGCATCAGAAGCTTACTGTGGAGCTGGTGAGTTAGCTGCAGTTCTGGTGTTGGTAGAAGTGTTTTGGCTGCCTGTTGATAGCACATCAGGAGGGAAACTTTGTTAAAGAAAAGGGGTTGAGACACCTGGAAAATCAGTGATGATCGTGTCGCATCATTGCTGCTTTCTTGGCTTGTGGGTTGTGGAGCAGTTATCTCAATATGTATGTCTCCTAGATTTACTGTGAGCAGAATCATGGGATGCAGGTACTGCTGAGGGCAAAATATCATCCCTTTCCAGAAGGGGATGAAAACTGGCAAATCTGTGCTGGCATAATTACTCTCCTGTTACTGTCTGTATATGGGTATTGATTCCCTGCTCTCTGAGAGCACCTACAATTCCAGTTGTACTTGAGAGGAACAGGAATTACTGCCCCATCAGACTGACTGCAGCAGAACATACAGTACCAATATGCAGTCTTCTCTGTGCAAATGCTGTGCATCAGACAAGCCACAAAAGGTTCTCCAAGAAGTTTTCCCTTCATGTGTGTAGTTTTCCCCAACAGCTGCGTATTACCGAGGTATTGCCCATTGATGGAAAATTCCTGCAGGCACTCAAGGATCCTCCATACAAATAAGACACCACAAGCTTACTTAGGTGATGTGTACTTAGGTTTGTTGGAAAAAGGAATTGGCACTGTGTAAAAATAGCAACCTACACTCCACAGATGACTTCTGAGGAGAAAAAAAATTAAGAAAATCAGCTGTTGCAGGCTTAGATGTGTTACATAGGAACATACTTTGAGTTTAGCTCAAAGCTAGGGTTGAAGGGTAGTGCATCAGTATGTTTAAGGCTTTGGCTGGACAAAATAGTTGCTTTGTTAAGTTCAGCCCTATTGTGTGTTTAGATGTTAACTCAGCTCTTAAATCAGCTTGGCAAACCTAGATCAAACAGAAAATGTTGCCAAGTGCGTTAAAAATAGATCATACAAAGTTGTAAAAATAGTGACTTCAAGTGGCTGAATACTATTGAGTCATCTTTGAATCTGCTTTTTCTTGCATAAACAGAACTGTAGCTTTGTAGTAAATGCCTTGGGATGGGTTTTGTGTGGTTTACGTAAAACTCAGCTAAAATGTATATGGATGTACACAGGATCACATGCCTCTCTTCTGCTTTCAATGCTTTTAGCTTCGTCAAATCCAGAAGTTATCAAGATCAGTTCTGTGCTGGATATAGCATCTCAGGTGGAAGAATACTACAGCAAAGGATATGTTGTGGGAGCTGTTCATCCCATTATGCTGCCAATTGGACGTAGAAGGAGTTTCCCTGCAAGTCACATGTATCGAGTGGTGCTTTCTCGATTAAAATCAAGGTAACGGTGAAGTAATTTGAATACACTGATCCACTGCTTAAACCATTTCTGAGTGGATTGCTCAACTTGCATAGCTTATTATCAGTTTGAAATGAGTGCCTCAGAGAATCAAGTTAACTGTTTCTGGTTTAGAAAGGTGAGCAAGTTAATAATGTTTTTTAATCAATGCTAAACACACAACAGGCTAATGTTTACTTTACCATAGTAAATGTCCCAAACAAAAATATAAAGTGTGATATCATCTGTCTTAGAACCTGAAGCGAATAAAAGATTAACCAAAACAGTAGGAGAGTAATAAGCTGCTTTAAATTACTTTGTCTGCTTTATCTTCATTTCAAAACTTTTGTTTTCACTTTTCTCAGGGAAAACGATGTGTGTTTAATTTGTGAAACAGCTTGTCAGAGAGTTTGGGTTTTTTCTTATTAAGGAGATAAACATTCTGTGATCAGAGGTCTTACAGAAGCTGATTTTGACACTGATGGAGATGCAAGAGTTTGCTCCAGATCCATGGTCTTCTTTATTACTTCCCTTTTCACTGCCTTAAAATCACCATGTAATCACAAAGAACAAAAATGTTACCATTAGATTATTTGAATGTACAGAATAAAAGCTTTTGTTCTTATTTTGAAAAACTAGAAAAGCAAGGTTTTACTGCATTAAAAGTTGTTGTGCTTCCCTGTCATTTCTGAGTCCTCATGTGAAGGGTTCTTTCATTTATTTGGAGGACTGGAAGGGTGTAAATTGGAAGGTGCCCCATGCCACCCCAGTAATGCTTCTGTAAAACATGTTCTTTTGAGGTAACTTCTCAAACCCCTTGCTTAAACAAGCATTGTCCAGCCAGGGTATTTGCTGCTCCTGCCACTTAACCTTTGTAAGTTCATCTGCAAACAAGGTGGACAAAAGCTTAGGTAGGAAAGCAGAATGTTTGCTCTAGATTGAGGCTTCGAAGAGCTGACACTACCAGCAGCAGCTCCCACGACTTACCTTATCCATCCTGGGTGTGGCATCCTTACCAAATTGTGGTTTGAACCTTTAGGCCTTTGAGTAGGTGAGTGGTGACACCTTGTAACCTCCATGTGAGACTCTTTGCTGTAGCTTCACAGTTTGCTATGCAGGTGCCATGTGTACTTCTGTTGGTTTTGCTATAGGCAAATGCACCTTCTCTGACTACTGTCTGGAAAAGAACTTTTTATATTTCAGCCTGTCTCACTGATGTTTTCCTAATTCAAATGGTTATGTGAAGGAAGCATCAAATAAAATCATATTATTGATGTACACTAAATATTACTGCCTGGGTAATAATCCAACTGACTTTAGATAAAACATGATGAGTATTATTCTATAACTTGAAATGGAAGTTAGAGCTTGTTACCTCCTTAAATCTGAGAGATTCAGACACTGTAGCTCTCAGTAATTGTTTGTGCATTGTATTTTTAGTATTTGTCTGCACTGTTTCTTACAACAACTGCAACTCTGCTTTAGTTACTAAAAACTCAGCAGCAGCATGTTGAGTGTAAAAGGACCATTTCTATTCATAGTATTTTCTACTAAACCAAACCTATTTTGTGCTTACTAAACTTATAGTTTAAATTTGTATTTTTTGTATTATCAGAGACTTTTGCATTTGTTACAATAGCAGAGCTGTTTATCAGTAAAGCTCAATTTCCAAAAGATGGCTATGAGTGACCTTCAGAGGAAATTCCTGTTAAATATTAATATTCTTACCATGGCACTGTAACACATAATACCTGTCACTTTGCATAAGAAACAGAACAAGACACCAAAACCCACTGAGTTCTAAAAAGTATGAAGAAGCATTGTCAGGGTTTCATAACTGTTTCAAAAGAAAAGAATTCTATATGCAAGCACTTGCCCAAGTTAGCAGCAAACTCCTGACAAAGACTGCTTTCTTTCTGTGTTCTAGCCAGAAGCATGCAGCACCCAGAGGACAAAGGCACCCCAGGCTGCTGATTGAAGAATGTCCTTTAATGTATGAAACACTGACAAATGAGGTAGTGAAAGAACTGTTAGAAAAGGTAATGGAGGCTTTTTCCAACTTCCCTTCATATTTTTGTTGCTATCATACATGAAAGTTATATGTAGTGGTTGATGTGTTTTCAGTTTTGCATTTATTTCAGAGAAACTACAAAGCTTTTCTCCAAGTGAAAAGAGTTCTTTTTCTTCACTAGTTAATGTTTCTAACATAGGGCTTGGTGTTGATTGCTGTAAAGCTTTGGGAGACTGGCTGGTTACAGCACTAAAAGCAGAATCAAGCCCAAACTCGATCCCTCTTTGTAAAATGCTTGTGTGATGTCTGAAATTTCATGTTGTTCTGAGTAAAGTATCTAAAAACGGTTTTTTCATTCTATAACAGAACTCTTAACATGTGCAGTAACTGTATTAAGTATTTATTTGGCACAGCTTTTGAAAACATTGCATAGTTAAAGTAAACTGAAGTTCCACTGGAATGCAAGTTCTAGTTCTGGTTCTTTTTGTGTTTAACTTCCTCTGCAAAACTGAAGACTTGCTGAAACAGGAAACTATTGTTATTACAAGAGTTAGTGATATCTTTTACAGGAGTTGCCAAGGAAAGAAGTGGAGGAAAAAGCATATTGAAGATCTTTAATCATCTTTGAAATTATCAAAGTTGCTTAAATTTTCTAGATGGCTTGTTTTGACTTTGGCAGGCATTTCAGTTTTAGTGTGATTCCATTACACACACTTCTATGCCTATTGCCAGGCTGGTGGTGTAGTGTACCAAAGATTAAAAGGAAAAACACACTTGAAATGAGCAGTGATGCAGTCTTGGAAGCATATTTGGTACAGAAGTAGTATAGTGAGAATAATTTGATTTTAAAGTGTTCAGTGTTTTAAAAACACAGAGCCATTAATCCAGGAAAAAATTACTACTATTTTTTAAGGATCAATAAGACTTTATGGCATTTCAGGGAAAAAATTATCATATCACCTATTCTTCTCTGTGTTGCCTGTTAAATTTAAAATGATTTTGATTGTGAAGCAGCAGCACAATCCAATCAGTGATTGTATCATTGCTGTACATACACAGTGGTAGTGGGCAGTAACACTTGAGTCTGTTGTGGTACTGAAAAGGGATTGTTGTACCATCAGCTGTTGGATGGTTGTTCACTCTGGTGATTAACAGTTTACATGAGTTAAATGGATCAAGATGGTTCCCTCTCTGCCTTCACTTGATAATCCACTACTTCTCAAGTGATTTCTTCTTTCTGGATTGGGGCTTTTGGATTAACTGGGAAAACTTTCTGTCACAGGGAGCTTGTAGCTTAAGATGGCAGTGGGATCATCTTCCTAAATGGCAGCACTCCTTATCCCAGGACAAACAACAACCCCAACAGACACATCTCACAGGTGGCACACATGTTAGTTGTAGATTGAGACTTCAGTGCAGAGAAAAAGACACACCACTGGCTGAAGGAGTTAAGAGGATTATTTGCTTCTGGCTCCCTCCTTTCTCTGCTCCTTCACTATTCTCAGTAATAATGAAGTTGAGTAGCCTCCAAGGGAACTGGGGGGTGATGAATCACGGCACATGACAAAGAGATATTTCTGTAGTATTGGAGGTCAGTATTTTTAGTATGACTGTATCACATGTTTAAAGAAACAATGCTATTTATTGCTCCATTATACTGCTTATCTCTGTGACACAGTAAATAAAATACTTTGGGTTTGTTCTAAGTGAAGGATTTTGTATGCCCTCAAGTCAGTACCAGTATTGGCCACCTTTCTTGGCCTGACTCCAGACAGATGCTGGAAAACTTCCACTTACTTTGAAGCACAGGCAGTGCCAAAGACAAGCCACCCTTCTATAATACCCTTTTATGTCTTCCTGTCCTCAGCAGTTCAGTTAAACAGAAGATGCATATCGAAGTTTTAAGAAGTTCCATGCAATTCTAAAATGACTCTGCAGCTAAATTTCTGTTGTATTATAGGTTAACGAAGCTGCTAAAAGAGGAAAGAAGTTTGTGGGATTTGTAACACAACATTTTCCTCAGCCCAAAGCCTGCAATGGAACAAGCGCAGATGGAAGTGCAGAGCTGGAAGCAACACTGGGCAGAAGAAACAGGGAACACAGGAGAGAAAACTTTGATGAAAACTACAAAAACTGGAATGAGGGGACACTGAGTGGTCATTCCTCTGAGAGTGGGATAGAGGAGGAAATGCAAGGAGAAAGCAGACTATTGGAGGATTCAGACTTCCAGTTTGGAAAAGAAGTCAGCCCTTCTAAACCACGGAAAGGAGATGGTAATTAATGTTGCTTGTTTATTGCAGAAATAAGGTATTCTATTGAGCTGTTAAAGTGTTGGAAAAAAACAGAACGTGTGCTGTTCTACCAAATACTGGCTTTGGATGATGCCTCTATATATGCATATGTAAATGCATCTGTATTTCTAAAAAAGTAGCCAGTTAAAAAAGCAAAAGAAATACTTACCTTCTGCTTTATGCATGTGAGCTGTGGTAATGTATTAAAATGATACTTCAGTTTTCATACAGAACATTAAAAATGTACTATCAAAATTCTAGATTGTAATTTGAAGAAAAAGGCAAACCCACAAACAACTGCCCCCCAGAATCGCCTGCAGTGTAATTCTGACTTGAAATGTGATGCAAGCAGGTAGCTTGTTTGCTTGGTATGTGTGTAACAAATATGTGGCAGTAAAAATCTTCTCTCTTAGAAGGATGCAATCGTTATAAAACCTTTTCCTAAATGCATGGTTTTTTCACTTAATATTAAACCATAAACATTTCCAAGAATATGTTGTGATCCCAGTTGTGCCTGTTTCAAAGCTGCCAACAGAGAGAGCCCCTTGCAGCCAGAGCTGTGGTTTTACATGCTTCTAGCCAGCTCACATCATGTGCAGCAGACAAATCCGTTCATAATGGATTCTTTCTGGTTAACGTGCCTTCAAGAAGCACCCTGAAAAGGGATCACCTAAATTAATGCATTGACCATGAAATCAAAGGCGATAATTGCTACAAAATGAATTTACTAGAGAAAAGTGAGCATTAGAAGTACAGGAAGAGAAAGTAGAATTGAAAAGTGTTGGTGCAGAGGTAGGCAACTTAGTTGGAGAAGAGTCTGAGATGCTCAGTGTGGTTCTGTGTGAGAGATTGCCTGACACATTAACTTTTGATACTGAAGGGTAGAGTCCTACAGGCTGCTAAGAGGAGAAAGTGGACAGGAAGAAGTGTAATCTGAAGCATGAGAACTAACACAAGACAGTATTGTGTGGAAAGCAGGCAGCATGAAAACTTTCATGTCAGGCTGCATTTTGACATAATAGGTTCTTCCCTGATGGACCAGACATGTTTTAATTGCTCTCAAAAGCAACCTTTTCATTTTGCTGTTAAAAGTAAAGCAGCCTCCCCAGTTTGTAATCTGTCAGAATAATGATTCTATGCTCTGAGATGATCCATGTCCTTCTTAGTCTTAGCACTTCAGTAAAAGCAGTTCTACAAGTGAACCTTTATAGCAATAATCTTGTAAAGCTTAACTCTTTCCTTACAGCTTGAAACAGTGGGTTTGGTATCTGTGGCAGAATACAAGTCCCACAAGGGAAAAGCAGAAAACTGGTTCTGTTCAGGAATAGTGTTTGTGCAGATGGGTGTGAGTAGGTGGATTAGCAACCAGTGCATCCCCTACATGCAGTGCTCCCAGGAAACTTTTTTGAAAAGCTTTAGAGGGGATATGCCAGGCTTCTCTCTCTCCCAGTCAAACAGCAAAGTCACTGGAGCTCATGAGGCAGAACTTCTGGAAACTTAACCTTTCTCGGTATATGTTGTATGTAATCATTTTAAACAAATACTAATGTGAATTTTGAAAGGGAAGTCTTACAAGTGTGTATGTATGTACTGCTGTGTCAGTATGCCAGTTCCATTGAGCTCTGCTCAAAAGAGGCAAACTGTGTCCAAGATTTCAGGGTCATAATGTGAATTTTTATTATTACATTACTTAATTTATTTTATCCAATTTTGACTAATATATTGCTTGCAGAGGCAAACTTCTGGTAGACATGAGCAACTGAATAAATTGTATTGGGAAACAATTTTCTTTTTTTGGAAGAATAAGTGACCTCACTTCAGTATGTGGGAAAGGAAATTAAGGGTTGTCAGGACGAATGCATTTATACTAATATAACCACCTGTGGAGAGGATAAAATGGTATAGAAAGGAGAGTCATTCTTCCTGAAAGTTCAGAATCTTGTTCTGAATTCACCTTGTTCCAGGCACCTGATGTCACTTGCAGTGGGTGTGGTAACACTGCTCAGAACAGAGGGTTTCTTCCAGGGTATTGATTCAGATCACTTGCACTGCAAAGCCTACAATGGAAATCTCCTCTGTTTCTGGAGCCCAGAGAGCCCAGCTTCTAATGTGGGGTCATCTAAGCCAAGTTCCTTTGTTTTGACAGTGTGAATATTTCTGTGTTTAGAGGTTGGTGTTTATTGATTTAGGCCACTCAGCAATATTAGACCATCTGAGAACATTTTTGGCCAACTGCTTTGTGTTATTTCTCCACAGCAGTGAAACACAGGTGTATTTGTGGAACAGGTTTATATAGCTAGGACTTGATAACTTGTACCAGTGATTTCCTGAAATGCTGTGGATCTGTAAATTTTAATCTTTGAATGTTGGTTTGAATGCTTTAGTGACAGCAGTGTATTAATAACCTACACATCAAATGAATTTGAGGAGATGAAGGTTTTGTTTGCTTAACTTGCATGTTCACCAGGAACTACTGAGAAACTGCAGTAGGCAACTAATACCAGTACTTAAATAACTTCAGAAGATAATGAGTAAAAATCAATACTGTAGAAGACATTCCTTAGGTTTACAAAGATAGAAAATTGTCATTGGTTATTGTAATTTCAAATATTTGTAGCCAGAAGTTTCATGAGTGGCAGAAAGGAAGCCTGTTTCCACTGAGATCTTCTTGGCTCTTGTATATTTTCTTTACGCAAAACCCAACTACCTGAGGGGTCCAGTGGCAGCCCAAGTGTAGGAAGTTCACATTTTCCTTGTATCCCAAAGCATACTTGCCCTCACACCTTGTTCTGAGTGTGTTTAAGTCTTCAGCAGAGTACAGACACATCAGGAAGCAGTTATTAAAGCTTAGAATTAGAAAATGGCACTGAAATAAGAGATTAGTAATATTATTCATTTTGGAACACTGTCTTTGAGAGTTTAATTTTTCTTCCTTCTCTTTTGTCAGACAAGCTGTATACAGTCTTCAATGTTTTTGATGAGGATTCCACCTGCTGGACCTATCATGAAGGTGTTTTGTCTATGAAAGTAACAAGGAAGGGGCCAGTTGTGAGTACTCTGGAAGCAGACTGGCTAGAATTAACTACATTTTATTATAAACAAGGATTGTCCTTAGTTGATTCTTTTGTACACTGGGAAACTTCTAAAGGTGAGTACAGTCCCAAGATATAATGAAGCTTTTACTTGTTTATGTAGAACTACATATCTTGGAAAAAAAAAAAATAAGTTCATGTTTTGTTTCTTGGTATGGAGGTCAATATGTAAATGTGTTCAGATAGTATATTGTAACTTTGTAGAGTCTGATACCTAAAAAGGGAATAATTTGTTTTCTGCCATTAGAGATTTAGGTATTTGAAATTTGTTTTGTTTTATCAAATTGAGGATTTCCAAAGCAGGAAACCAGAGCAGTGATAAAACAAAATAAACTATAGTTTGGTTTTGTTTTTTTGGAAAGAAAAGTTAAGACAGGAGGGAGATCATTGGGTGGACATTTCTGTGATGTTCCTGTTCTGCTGCTCCGTGGATACTGTGCTGCACTCCAAATATTTCTAAGGAGACAGAAGAGCACCTTGAGTTCTCATTAACCTTACTGTACCATTAAACCCAAGTCAGACTTTCCATGTTGCTGGCTTTCTTCAGCTCTCTGCTGGGCTTAAAAATTCTTTCCAAACCACCAAACTGCATTAAAATTTGCTGGTTTTGTCAGACGTGGACACTCATAGGGAGCAGAGAAACCCATTTCTGTCCTTCCACTCAACTGTAGGCGGATCCTCCAGGACTTGTTCACACAGCTGGGGCAGAGGTCTGCCCTGGTCCCTCCTGCTTCCTGTGCTCTTCTGCAGCAATCTGCCAGCTCAATTGACAATCATACTGATGTAATAGAGCAATTCAAATGATAGACCACAGGATTTCCAGAGCTACTTCATTTGTCCAGTTTCAGTGTGAAACCCATTTTTATTCTGGAGAGGTCCTACCAGCTCTTTGAGAGTTCCAAACCTTCACCCTCCTGATTAACAGACACAAGCCTGATGTCAGCAGTGCCACTGCTGGCCCAGGCCCCTGCACACCGTGCTGAGCCCAAAATCCTGCCTTTGGGCAGAGCTGTGGGTCAGTGCTGTACCACTGGTGACCACTCACTGACCAGAGTATCTAGAACTGTAAAAGTGTTGCTGGTAAAATACATAATTAAGAGATTCCATTTCGATTTTAACTGATTTTATTGGAAAGCCAGAAATTAAGTTTACAAAAAATAGTAGGAAGCCACTGTTGTGCAATTGCTTGGAAAAAACCAGGAGAAAATAGTAGTACCCTGGTGTTAAGGGTACAGATCAAGGGAAACTGACCTGATTAATAAATTCTGAAACTATTAACTGCTATCAAACAACATTTATTAAAATAAACCTAGACTTTATACTTCTCCAAGGTGATACTTTGGTTGAATATGTACATGTCTTGCTTGTACTAAGTTGGAAGTTGTCAGTGTTCCTGTATAATTAATTATGGCAGTTCAGTGTAAGCAGGCAAAATAAAGGGCTGCAGTGGAGCAAAGTCCTGTAAAACATGGGTTAAAAAGGTTTCAGTGCCCTTGAACAGTTTTTGCAGTGCTCAAGCTGATTATCTAGAACATTAGATAATTAATTATTAAAGTTGCTTTCTTAAGTCACTTTGTCTGCCTCTTACATAGATTATATCAGGAAGGCAGAATTACTAGGACTTGGAGTAGTTGTTGTATTTACTGCATCTTACGCTTCTTTCTGTTAATTCGGATTTAAAATATGCATTTACCATCTCCTTTGCAAGGTAGAGCTTAAATGAAAAAAAGTAAAACATAATCTTTAAAAGCTAAATGATGTGAGTTCTTCAAAACCAAAACCCTGACAACAAGGGCAACTCTTCAATTTGCAGTGCTCTCTGTAATTTGGAGTGTGAATCGCTGCATTTCTGTAGCTCTGCAATAAAGTAAACTTAGTGGCTGTCAGAGGCACATAAGCTCATTGACATAGATTTACCTCAGATGGAATTTGGCAGCTAGTCCCTCTCAAACTGCATATTTTGTGCACATAAAGAGTCTAATGATGCAGTTTGTAATAGTCATCTTTTTTGCTCTGAAACTATTACTTATATTTATTAAAGTCTGTGGAAGAAGAAAATTTCCTTGGGGGGAGGAGAGGTGAGAATTTGGACTCCTAGTTTTCAATACAGTTTTTTTTAGAGCTGGAAAAGAACCCTCTGGAGATCTGTTACAGTTCACTGAGGGCTGGTTTTGGCAGCTGTTGACATTAATCTTTGCAGCTGTTGTCCAGCGAGTTTTGCAGTCTTCCCATTCCTCACATAGAGAAGATCTGTCTGCTCCTCTCTGTATGAAGAACTACCCCATCTTTAATAGCAGGGCAGTAACGTATCTCATCTGATATGGGAGGGGATTTAAATCCAGTATTTTGAGGGTTGTATAATTTTAACGTATAAGTTCAGTTTAATTTTAAGTTAGTCAACTGTTAAGGTGTGTTTCCACAAAAGGCTTCCTGAGGGCTCTTGGGAGAAGCAAAACCAGAAAATGGACCAATATTTGATGCCCAGCTTTAGTTTGGGCCAACCGGATGCTCTGGGGCTTTGACGTGTGAGTCAGGGAGCTGGGCTCGGAAACTTCCTTCCCATCAGGAATCTTCCTACAATTACTTGTGTTTCAGGCTCTTCCTGTGGCCATTTATGTTTTCAAGCAGCAGTGCTTTGGCTTTGCACTTCGTGGTTCACTTCTCTCCGTTCCCTCTCACCACAGCAGAAGCCACAGTTGTTGTCAGGCAGATGATACTGAGGTCGAGTAAAGAGCGTTTGTGCCCATCCTCTGCAGGAAATGTGTTGAATACAGGAAACTGGAATTCTGATGGGAGCATGGAAGGGGTTAATGCTTCTGAGAAAATTAAATTGTTCAGAGTTCAATTTGTATAGAAAAAAAGGCATTTGAATATTAAACTGACTTGCATACTCCAAGTTGTAATTAGATGCAGAAATAACCACAAATTTAAGTTTGCTAAGTCCTGTAATTTTATTTTAGAGGACTGTTCAGTGAGAGGGGGGAGACATCCCTAATATACTTCTTGGTAGTATATCAACCTAGAACTTTGTTTCTGTTTATGTTCACAGGGGACTATTTGCCCAAATCTTTAGAAGGATTATTTATCTATGAAGAAGAAGGTGCTGGGGTTCCAGGTTCCAGCAGGAAAGGAAATGATGCAATAGTTGTTGAACAATGGACAGTCATTGAGGTAAATTGGTGATTATTTAGCAATGCTATTTCCTACTTTTATTTTTCTTGTTTTTAGCTTAGGGTGCTTGTCCCAGTATTAGATAAATGTTCAGGATGGTTTCCTGAAACCACCTGCATGGGCTAAACTCAAGCCTTGAATCATAAAAATGAAGTCAGGTCTGTGGCTGTTGGTAAATGTACGTAAAAGAAATACGCTGGAGGGGTTCTGGCCTGCCATTTACAAATGATCATACCAGCAAATACAACCACCAAAGAGAACGTTTTGGGTTTTTTGTGTGTGCTTCAGACCAATTTTAGATAGAATTCCGGCAAGTGCAGGTCACACTGATAGTGTGAATACTTCAGTATTTTTAAATAAGAAAGGGAAGAAGATAGCTAGAACTAGAAACAGGAGAAAAATGATAATTATTTGAGTATGGGTTTCAGATGTATATTTTTTTTAAATGTTACTGCTAAATATGAAAGGCTTGGGTTTTCCTGATAACTGTAGTAGGCTACAGCAATAAAATAACTTTTAAAATATGTTAATGTTATAGGATTGTTTTATCAATGACATCTGAAATTAGGCATTGTTGGAGCATATTAAGGGCTTACTTTTGAAATATCTAATGATAAGTATGTTTACCAATGGAAAAGAATCATTATAAAGCTTGTATGTTAAAAACCAAACAAACAAACAAAAACCCTCACCAAAATCTTAATTTTAGTACTGGGTGATATGCTTCTTCTTGATATGTAAAGTAAAAACAAATACATAATGGACACCTAGTATGGTGTTGAAAGTTTTGGCACTAATTTAGCCAGGTGACAAGCTGGACAAATGAGATGTGCTTCTGAATCAGGGCTCATACCTAATGTTAAAAAATTGTTATCCTCAGTTTTTTTAGTTGTGACCTTTCAGATTGTTTTCAGTTTGAAATAGAGAGTCTCCACCAAACAATGGATTATCATCTCAAAGGATTGTCCCCCTAAAAGTGAGAGAAGAGTTGTAGTTGTGTAGAAATGCAAATAAAATCTGTACAGAGTCTCTTTACTACTTTTTATAATTATTAATGTAGGGGTGTGAAATTAAAACAGATTACGGACCTTTATTGCACACGCTGGCTGAGTTTGGATGGCTCCTGACCTGTGTCCTGCCCACACCCATCGTACGACATGACAGGTACCCACACCATAGACTGCAGCATATTTGTTGTGCATGTCTCAGAATTACTGAGTAATTACTGGCATCCTTAAATGTAAAAGGAGGGAAAATGCTGATGTTAAATGCATATAAAACATAAGATGTAAGTAGCGTTATGGTTGAGTCTTTACTGTGATGTTTTAGGTCTACTGGTTCCAGTGAGCTCTAATTCTGAACTTCAAATGCATTGTAAAAATCTAAACATTAAAAGATTTTATTTAGACAACTTTTTCCCGCATACCCCAGTCCCCAGCAATGGGGTAGCTCATGCACTTCAAGTTTAAACAAATGTTGAAATGTTTCACTAATTTTAGAACCTTGGTGAATGACTACTTGAGGTGATGGAAGAAGTCATGTCACAAGACAGTCATGCAGTATTTATTGCACATTAGGGGGGGCAATGTGGTAATTCAGCAAGTTATTGGGTTGTTTCTCTTCTTTTGATATAGGCATTATGGTTCACTTCAAATATTGTACCAAACTACTGGATTTCAGTTTTCTGGTTGTTGTACTTATTTAGATGATTGAGGTGACTCTGTCTACTCTTTAAGAAGAGCTAAATAGCCCACCTGGATCCCTCATAAAGTTCTAGACTTCTTTTTTAAGCCCCCCCCAAAAAAAAAGTACTGTGCTTTTCAACACAGTATCAAGTTAAAAAAATGGCAAATGAAGCAGTGGATTAAGGATTCTTAGTGCCTTTCTTCTCTCTCATTTTTTTTAAGTTCTTCTCCCATTAGATGAAGATTGCCAAGGTTTGAAAACAAACAAATGTGCTGAGGCACAGCTTAGGGCTCACTAACAATTGTGACAAGAGTGGATGACTTGAGTAATCTTTGGATCCCAGACCTCACTGTGTTAAATCAAGAGAGCATGACAAAGATGTGAATGAAAGGTTCTTAGAAAACTCCTGCAGGAAAGTGGGAGTTTTGGTCAAGTGATTTGACAGAATTAAATCAACTCGTGCATGGAGGAGGTGGCTCTTCTGGTCAGGAAATAGGTGTTGGGGTTTTTTGGCTGTGTTGTTTGGGTTTTTTTAATAGTTGATTTTAACCAACTGGTTAAATGCAAAGACAGAAGTAGTGGTAAAACAATATGGCATGTTCTGTGGTAATTTTTGGTCTTTTTTAGTAAGGATCTATGTATGTTTTGTTTTCTCCTGGAAGAAGCAGTTTCCAGAATACAAAGCAAAATGGTTCTCCTGTAGTATCTTCAGTAATTTTGCAGTTGAAGTGTATTAGCTTTGAACATGGTGACTTGGAAGAGTATGTGAACTACTGAGCCTGGCTCTTGTAATCAGCTGAAATTTTTGGCCAAATCTTAGAGCTGGAGAATAAGTCTTCACAATCTGGATCTAATCTTTGAAGGATGTCAGTGGACAAGGGGAGGGAGATTTTAGTAGTTGTGGTGTGCTGTGAGTCACAGAATGAGGGACTTTTTAACCCACAAAGTCTTGTGTCCCACAAGCAGTGTAACTAAACCCATTCCTGCAGGGTTTGGATGAGCAGGGTCAGGAATGTCCCGAGCAGCTGCTGCTCAGCCACTCGGAATGTCAGTCTGTGCCTGCAGCAGGAAAAATGGTGCTGCTTTGGACCTCACAGATTGCAGAGCAAAGGCAGGGCCCATGCAAAAAAGCCAAGTGCTAAAAGAAAAAAAACAGGAAAAAGGGCTAACTGATTGATTAGGTTGGAGCTGTTAGTATTTGAACCAGTAAGAAAATGTACCAACCAGTGAGATAGATTTGTCAAGTAGTGTTGTATCCTAGATGTGAAACAACCAGCCTGTTCATAGCAGTGTTCATGCCAAAGGGGGTTATATCCTGGCCAAATCTGAAGCTGAATTCATTTTGTATCCACACTAGAATATTTCAGACTAATAAAATGCACTTGTTTTCTGGCCTAAATGGTTGGGTAGGAGTCTGCATGAAGTGTCTCATAGTTGTTATCCTCCTGTGGCTTGTGAGTTCATCTTGGAAGAAGTAGGATGAATCATGTTTTGTGTTCCTGTAGTATATCTCATATACAGCTATTCAATTTTCTTTAAAAAAAAAAGTGAAAAGGCCCATGAAGAAGAATTCCTAATTAGGAATTGAGAATTCATGAGTCAGAAAATTAACCTCTTCCTGTCCTAATGGGCTAAGTAGCAATGGATAACTACTATTTTTAGGCATTGATGTTGGCATTTAAAGAGGATAAGAGATTCCTGGATGGCTACTGGGTGTCTGATGTGAAAGATGCCATTACAGTGGTGGTGGTGGGTTATCCTAGGAATGCAAGTTAAATGGCTCAATAAAGAAGGATGCTTTATGCTGCTCAACAGCTGGGGTTTTTTGCCAGGCTTGGAACTCGGTCCTCAAAACCCAGCCTGAATACTAACAGACTTCAGACACACTAAAAAAATAAAATAAGCAACATTTTGGGATCATCTGACAAATTTATGTTTTCATATTTATTTTTAGAAAAGAATTTGTGCACAGGATTTAGATAAAATCTTCATTATCCTAATTTTTATTCACTGCAGTACTTTGCTCTGTTCTGCTTCCCCCTTACTTATTGCAAAACTTTCCATCACTTTAAGTCTTCCATGATCTCTTCCTAGACTTTGTGCCCCCTGCTTGTCTGCAGACCAAGAGTGTGACCAGCTGGGCTGTGACAGGATTGCCATGCACTGATGTGTTCCTTTCCAGGCTTTTGCATTGTTAGGATTTGAAACAGTTTTAAAAACACACTAGGCTGTCATGTCTGTTCCTGTGTGGTTTTGTTGTTTAAAGATTTTAATTTTTCCCAGACATAAAATAAATGAAAAATAAATAAATAATAAAAATAAATATAAAATAAAATGCCCAAAGCATTAAGCTGTGATAGCTGAATGTCACAGATCACTGTCCTGTCTTGGGCAGGGGCAGCATCTGTACACCTGGTTAGTCCTTCAACTCCTACCTCAATGGCTAAATGGTGTTGGATGCAGGAGACATTGCCTTGAAAAGCTCTTTTTGCTGTTACAAAGAGTGTAAATGTCATTCTTGAAACGTGCACAGTGGCCATTTTGTGCAGTGTTGTGTGAAAAGTAAGCACTGTGGGTCTGGGGTTGGTTTTTTGGTCAGCACACTAGAGATGGAGTGCAAGTTGCCCTCTCCTGACAGTGATTCTCTTTTTACTCTGGGGATATGAGAAAGCAGAGCATGAAAAAAAAATGCATATGATGCATCATTAGTTGTATCCATCCATGTCTTGGGTATTTAAACTGTGCCAGCAGTCAATAAAGAAACTTTTAGACCAAAAAAAAGCAGAACATAAAGAATAGCAGATCCAACTGTAATATTAGTGATGTAAAGAGCCCCCTGTATTGTATGCAAGTCTTACTTCATTGGTAAATGACTTCAAGACAAGAATTTGATAGTAATTATGCCAAGTTCACATAAATAGCAAGAATAAAATGAATACTCCTTTAGGAGTTAAATCTAGTGGTATCTAGGGGATACTCTGCAGGTAAATTGAGGGCTCGTGCAGTTTTTATTATGATATTATAGGAGTTTGTAAAATTTCATATATGTTAGGGGTTGAAAATTAGAGTTATTTCTAAGGTTTTTCAAATGTTCCATGAAATGGATCCTTTAAACTTAGTATCCCATGCTGGTGTCAGTCTCATGACTGAAAGTCTAGGTGGTGTGTGGCTCCAAAGGAGTGCAAAGCTTTATTTTGAGGAATGCAAAAAAAAAACCCCAAAACTGGACAGATGAAACAAATTTCTTACTCCTTTTGTGCATTTGTAGAAAACTTTAACCTCTGTTTGAACTGCTTTGTAAACGTGTTCATAAAAAAAATGGATCTGTAAAAATCAGAGACACTGGAGTACTACTGAGCTTCCAGCTTGATGTTTGCTTTTGGGGACTGAAATACAGACATGTAAGAGGACAAATTTCTTTGCCCATCCAGCGTGAGCAGACAAGCAAATTGCTGAAGTTTCAACAAAAGAGTCTCTGTTGCTCTTCATCGCTCTTGAGAGAGGAAAAAGCTCCACAGCCTGACTCTGCAGTGACCTTTATTTCCCTCCACTGATTACTGCAGTCCCTGAAAACAGGCAAGGCGGACTGTGAGCAGTGCAGTGCACAAACACTGACTTGGGTTATTAATTTATCGTGGCTCACTACTTCATCAGTGTTTTCAAAATGCCCTGACTTACGAGGCAAAGAGGGACTGTGGAAAAGTGAGGGAAGCCACGGAGCTTCCCTTGCTCTAAGCGCTTTTTCTCATTTAAATTCTGCGGAAATCCCGCTGTCACTGAGTTCTTTGTGAATTGAGCTCATAGCAGCTTTGTCGTGTGTGGCATCTTAATAAGGGCAGACTTAGAAAACTGTTAATTTACTTATTGTCTACTCACCATCGTGTCCTTTTTCTGTTCCAGGGGAATTTGTACAAGCTGTAGCTTAATGTTTGGGGTTTTTTTTCTGGTCTCTGAAGGAATGCAGACACTGTTACAAAATAAGCCGTAGGCTCTTACCCATGCCAGGGACTGTGCTCAGGCTTCTCACTTAGAAAAGAGATTTCCCAGTTGATATTATCAAAGCAGACATAACTGAGGCAGGGAGGAATACCTAGCCAAGTAGAATAAGGTTGCAGGGTTGTGGATTCACTTGTAATGACATAAAAATCTTAACACGTTTTCTTTTACTGAGTGCAAATAGTGAGGTAGAGACTCCTGGAGCAGGAAACCTTGGTAGTTTAAGGAAATGAATGAATTTGTTCTCCTGCATTCTTGTTTTCCCCACTAGCTGGAGTTTAAGTGTCTATCCTCATCCAAGGAAGACATGCAAAGGTATGCCATGACCTGAGTTCAGCTGGACTGAAAGGAAGATTGGGAGGGGCCAAACAGTCACAAACCCATCATCACCAGCTATTGATCTGAGCATCTGTGTACTGAGTAGCAATCTATGCTGGGAACTCTTCCTGAGCTCACAGGAATGGTTTTAATCCCTGATTTTTCTAAGAGCAACTCTCTAATGTTAAATAAATTGTCAGTCCTAGCCCTGTCATGAAACATGCATCAGCTACCTGAACTCGGTATGTGATTGTTAACCTTGTGACATACTGAAGTAAGAACTTGCATTGTTTTAGTAGTTCTTTCTGTAATGTTATATATAATAATACTGATTTGATTGATAGAAATGGTAGAATCATAAATATTTCAGATGAACTCACTACATTTCTTTGGTGTTTCTCTTTTGCTACTTGTCTTTAGTGCACTCTTAAATCTGAAGTTACTCTTTTACTAAAGTATTACAATGTTTTTGCTTTACATGCATAAAATTCTTACTGAATACTGCCCAGAAGCAGGAGTTGGGGAGAGAAGAGCTTCTAAAATGCAGTATCTGATACTTAGAAGAGCACTGGAATTTTTTAAACTCTTACTCTGGAGTCCTGGTCTTGAAATTCTTGCACTTGTTCATTGACAGAGTTGAGCTTTGTAGTACCTATGCTATCAATGTGGTGACCTGTATTTCTGATGGAAAGGTTATGAAAATACATATTCTGCAAGGTTTAATGTGTCTATCACTATTAAGAGTGTAATTCTTCTGAAACATCATATCAGCAATATCTGATTAGGTCTTGAGGAAAAACTTCACCTCGTCATGTTTATTGTTCTACAAGTATTTCCTTTTTTGGGAAAAAAAAAAGTACCTGTGCTGTTTTTACATGTGTACCATAACAGTATTAAAATCTGTAAAAGTTCCAGGACTGAAGTTGCTCTTTTCTTTTTCCTTTATTTATCTTAATAAAGTATTCTCTAGTCGTTTATCTTGTTGTAGATGTAGAGCTTTTTTAAACTGAGCCAGGTCCTTTCATCCATAGGTGGGGAGGCAGCAAGCTTAAACCTCAGTGCCAGTTAGGTGTCATGTTACAACCAGAAAACAACTTTTATTTAGCAGTAAAGAATGGTAATTCCCAAGTTTCTTGCCACAAAGTATTGCTGTGTTTGTTGAAGCTGTGGATCTACTGAGATTGGGCCTGGTTGTTGTGGCATTGCTGGGTAGTAATATGTTGCTGTATTTGACAGTGAAGATTAGGCTCAAAGAAAGACTCAGGGAGCTTTGCTTCAGACATAAAGGTGCAGACTTAGATTAAAAGTAGCTAACTCTGGTACTTAAACTTTTGAGAGTGTACATGTTAAATAACTCCAGTCATAGTAATGCATGCTATTGGTGTGTCCATATTTTTATGTGCATCACCTTGACCCAGCTCTATGCTTCTATTTTTTTTAATATGTTTACTGGACTGTTCAGGAAATAATAAACTGGTTAATACTTCATATTCTGTTCTGTTCTTACTCATGGACTTACATACACACACCTTGAAGCTGACTTTAAAAGGTATGAATGTGTTAGGGACAGCTATTGCCAATAAAACATTGAAACTATTTTCTTTAATTTTTAGTGAAGGAAATCTTGCTACAAAGCAAGTAATTTTTCTTCAGAGACCTGTGATGTGGAGTTCTGCTGTCCAGACACCAGAGGTGAGTAACACATTTATGGTATTAATATAAAAAAACTAGTACTTCACATAATGGTAAGATACAGAAAGAAACTAGACTTCTCAGTAGGGGAGAAACATGGCAGAACAGGGCTTCACTAGTTACCACTTCAAGTTTGTGGAGGGCTTTTGCAGAACTCAAGTTGTTTTCTCAGCCATTGTCTCTTGAGTTAAACCATGAAGAAAAGCATAAAGACTTATTTTGTGCTAAGAGTCTCAGGTGGATGAAGTTGCTATGTTGGAAGTATTTTCTTTGGAGTCTTTAGGAAGTCATAAATGTTCTGATTGAAATCCTGTATCTGTTGCACACAAGAAAAGTATTTTGACCTCCAAAATGTCAACTTTCACACTTTGAAAAGAAACAAGTGTCAAGCTATACGAGGGATACTGTAATCTGCAGGTTAAAGGGGTGAAGGCTGTTGTTGCATGAAAATGTGAGACAGGATTTAAAACTCTGCAGCTGAACCTCCTCACCTCCTTGTCCCTTCTGAGGGAAGCTCCCATAACAGAGGTTGTATCAAGTGCTTTCTGAGGGTTCAGTAACTCCATCACCACACTCTGCTCGGTCGGTGTTGCAGCAGCTGCTGCAGCTGCACGGTGCTGCCGTAAATCCTGCTGTGCCAGCAAAGCAGAAATTGTTGATGGGCTCTTCTTTGCTGCATCTTTTTGACATCCCGTGGTGGTTATTTCTGGATTTCAGTAGCTGTTCCACCTTTCTCTATTCAACGTGGCTTTCCTGTGATAGTTTTAAGCAGTCTTAAGCTATGAGTATTTTCACTCCTGTCTAGCAGCAAACTTTACAGACTTTATATACTGTTAAAAGGCAGTGATACCTAGCTGCTTCTTTGTCCTATATAAATGCTTCTCTGAGTCTCTAGCTTCATTTATATTTGACAATTGTCTCTTTTACTTTCTAGTTACTTTGTAACTATCATGTGTGTTTTCCTCTGTTTAGTGTTTCTAAAATACGCTTTTCCTTTTTTTGTTCTTCTCCAAACTTTTGCTTATCTCCAGCCTAACTTCCTTCTCCCTGTGTCCCCTGGTAATTAGTACTTCCATGCCTGAAAGAACTGCTTTCAACATGCACAATTCAAGTCCTGGTTTATTTTTTTGTCTCAATTCCCGTCTAGTTCTTGAACACTGTAATTTATTTTCTCATTTACTTAACTGGAGCTTCAGCTTTTTTCTCTTCAGTGTTCTGTGTAGTCTTCCTTGCTGGTGTCTTGAAAAATTCCACTGGCAGAATTTAGAAGAGGGTATGAATGGAGAAGATTGTCCTTTAGCCACCTTCTGTGTACAAAGCATCTTCAGCTTTTAGCTTTCAGACCCTCTGCTCTCATGCCTGACTTTGTAGTCTGTACTTTCCTTCCTAATGCATTTCTGAAAGAATGTTTTGGAACCAATTTTGATACCAATATTGTAAAAATATGGAACATGAAGTCAGTGCTTAAAAAAACAAAAATAATGCTCTCCTACATTTTTAACACTATATAATAAAAACATGAACTCCTGATATGAGAATTCTTCCCTTGGTAAGACATAATGTTGTTTCTAACTATAAGAGTCTCTTAAGAGGCACCATCACTACCTGTCACAAGTTAGAATGGTTAAGACTGGGTTCTGTCAAGAGGCACAGAACAAACCAGTTCTGTAAAAACATTGTCTGAGGAACTGATGAATCTTTGAGATGTGGTTTCAATTAAAAATAGGAAGCATTATACTCACAGTTTACAATTCTGTCACCCAGTTGTGAGGTGATGAGCAGCTTTGGTTTATACAAATAAAATGGTGTGTTTTGTCGTTCCACTTTTATTTGTTGTAATAGGAAACCTTTGATTAAGCATTAAACATACTGGAAGTAAACAAAGAGTAACTGATGTGTAGCCGTTTACACCAGGATTTCTGTGTTTAAAATCTGAACAAACTTAGTATCTAAATGTGCTCTTTAAGTAACAGTGAATGTTTTACTTCTCCACCAGGAAATTTCAATATGATGAGGTCATTTTAGTGTGGGATAAATAGGTAACTGGGGCTGAAGCTGAAACGTTTAGCAGAGTAACGTTTTTCCTTCTGTTTTGCCAATTATGTTGGTCTTCCCCTAAATTTTAGTCTCTTCATTCATTTTTTTAATGAAATCTTTGAATTGGCAAAGAGCTTATTACTTTAATTTCAATCTAAATTCATGGATTTGTTAGTAATAACAAACTGATACAGACTGTCACGGTAGCTTTGCATTAAGTACCTAGATTTCAGGTGTAAAATAAGCTACTGAGATTTGAAAGCATTCCTTTCTGCTCTAGAGACTTTAGTTGTTGTTTAAATAACTTTTAAGTAAAAGTCTCCTTGACATGGACAACACAGCTGTACTATTTTATTGAACCCTGGCAAACAGTTTTGTAAAAACATGTAATTCCTGTGATTGTATCTTGTTTGGCATGACACTTTCCTTTTTATTTGTGGTGCATATCTTTTCAGTGATGTTCATATTACCTTAAAGCTGTTACTAAAAAAATTTTGTTATTCACAACTTAAGATGTTTCTGAAACACAGAAATACTGCAGATACCTATGATTTGTAATTTAAAAAAATTGCATCATAACTTTTGTTTATTCAAGCACACCCTTAGCATATTTCCAGCTCAGAGACCTTGAGAAGAATGCTGCTAACAAGGCTCTTTGATTACTGGAATAAGAAAGCAGCCTCACACAGGCCTTTTCAAACACAACTATCCCCCAATGCCCTGGTCACGTCACTTTGCAGTTCTCCCCAGTGCAGCAGGGTCTGGCCGTGGCAGCAGCTTTGCCCCACAGGTACAGCTGTTGGACTTGCATTCTGGAGAGTGGCAGCACAGCTCGTAGTGCTTTGTGTGCTCAGGGTTATATTTGTTAATTGTTGGGTTGTAGTTAGCATTGTTATTTCTGAAGGAGGTTTTGCTTCAGTAAGAATTGAGGGGAACCCTGATATTACCTGGTTTCTTCACCTGACAGGGTCTCTTTTCTGAGGATGGTATGTTTTGTGTCCTTGCAGCTCATCTCTGCCTTCTTGTATATTCCTGGGGTAGGGCATTACAGCCTGGGTTATGATTTACATAATGGTTCAAAAGCCTCTTGGGTTACAAGGGCTGTGGTGTCTCAGTAGACTCTGTTTATCACATATCACTTGCTGTTCAGAGAAAATAATTCAGAAGAGGAGATGCAAGATTGAACCATGCAGTGCTTGAGGGGTTTCTGCTTGTTTTTCTTATTTCTTCATTTATTTCCCTTAGGCGGACTTTTCCATCCTCTTGCTGTGCCATCCAGGCAAAACTTATTTCCTTTTGTTTCTCCTGAGGCAACACTGTTTCCCCTTAGCCTGATTTCCCAATGTCTCCTGTAACAGCTTCCCTACACGCATTTCCTTTAGCCTCATGGTCCATTGTTTTTGCTGTTTCAAAAGGGTTTGAGAAAAAACCCAAATGTGTAGAAGAGAGGCACAAACTTGCCTAAGCGTGGTAAAAGCACTTGTGGCCTGGTTTTGTTTTTAAAGTGCTTGTGTCCTTCATGCACTGAAATGCAGCTCTGTGCTGGGGCAGGATTCCTTTGTGGCAGGGCTGTGTCCCTGGCAAGCATCTCCTGTGCTTACCTTAGCACTGCTGCCTTCCTGACCGTGTTCCTCTCTTGTGGCTCAGGGCACTGACACTGTCTCTGGAGGTGCTACATCATCATAGACCTGAGTAACTCGGGTAGCTCTTGATGCTGCAGTGAAATAAACCTTTTATTTATTTGTGATGCCTCAGAGGACCCTTGGCATAGTCTGGTCAGTCTCTTATTTGCAGAAATCACCATCTCTTACTTTCTTTTTTGACGTGTGCAACCATCGTCATTCAACAATGTGCATCATTCAACGAGAAAGATCAGACAATCCCAGTACTAATGACTGTATTTATACCAAGTTCTTCCTGTGCAAGGACTCTGTAGATCCCATTTCGAATGGCTGTACAGAACAGCCACTGACTCCTATCTGCATAGATGCACTGTGGGAATTGAATGCAATTCACAAGGAATGTGCCGTTATCTGAGGAGGCCTTTGGAGATGTTTATGGGCAGAACTGGGAAGATGGGGAAGTTTCTCAGCTGCACCATGAGATGGATCAGTGGGGAATCTTCAGTCCTAAGAAGTGGTCAGGCCACCCTCTTTTTACAGAGTTCAGTATTGATGGAGTTTAATTCTCACCTTTATGAAACACTGCACTGATGCTGAATCTCCCAGAGAGAGCTGTGTTGAGGAATGTGATCAACATCCACTGACTAACCAGAATGGCTTGCTGAGGGGGGCAGTAGCCAGAGACTGTATGTGGTGGCTTGTGGGTCTGTGAATGAATGAGAGAAGAGTGGATGGTGGTGGAGCTCTTATGAGAGTTGAGCAGTGTTGAAGTATTTTTTTCTTAGCATTCAGTTGTGCTTTCTTGAATCTAAACTATGTATCTTTTATTTTTCCTCTCTTGAAGTTTATTTTTAGAGACCAAAAATGTATCTGTTGGAGGTTTTTTGTCTGAAGGAGTTAGTTTAAATGAAAGTGTTAAATCTGCCTTGTGTTAAAATGCAGCTCACATTAAATCCATGCATGACTCATTGCAAAGTATTTGGCTAGGGGTTTTTTTCCCCCTAAATAAGCTAACATTTCAACATCTCTTGTATTCCAGAGGAAATTCTTAAGACAAGTTACTGGGGAGGACAAAGGCAGAGTGTCTAGCAGAAGTGTTGGATTAGACACAGCTACTTCTTGCCCTCTAGAAACTGGACAACCACCTGACGAGTTTCACCTATCTCCTTCAAAACAATGTTGGATCAAGGAGGGATCCTCCCAGTATGGAGGCTTTCCAGGATTCAGTAGCAGTGATGGAGTATTAAGGGAACTGGATGATGGACAGTATGACCAGGAAGATGGAGTCACTCAGGTCACATGTATGTGATAAAGTCAGAAACTGCATAAGATGGACATGTACATAAATCACAAATGGATTTTTTTAAAAAAAAATTATACTACTTTAAATGCATTGGTATAATCCTATGGCTTCGTCCAGACTCATTTTGTATTTTTGTCAGTTTTTGTTGTTAATCCTACTGTAGTAATACTACTACAAAAGCATTTGCTTTTCTGTCTCTCTTTAATAGTATAACTGTGTGACTGGGTGTTCTTTTAACTTGTTAATGCTTTTGACAAGCAAGGAAGCAAAAGCTGCAGGAGTGACAGTTTGGATTGTGTAAGGAGAAAGGAATGAGGATGTTTAGTATTTTCCATAAACTGGAGGAACGTTTTTGGGTGTTGTTTGTTTTTTAAGGGTGTTGTAAATATTGGTGGGGAAAGATGAACTGACTGACTGTTAAGTTTTAATGTAATTTTCACTTTATTTGCCTTGCATAAGTTCTAAAGCTTAGAGAAATGTCAAGTCTTAGCCTAGAGTGTTAGTAATTTAAGCTACATTCAGACTTGATGTGGACAGAGAAACTCGGGGTGCTGTAGGCAGACACTTCCTCCTATGATAGCTTCACCTCTGCAGGTTGTATCAGAGTTCCTTGTAGGTGTAAGCCACGTGCTGTTGGAGCTTAGAACTTGAGCAATGATATAGTTGTAACTTAGTCATGAGTGGAAATTAAGAACCACTCATCCCCTGGAAGATAACTTGCAGTCTGTGAGCACATAGTTTGAGAAGCTCAGAAGCTGCACTGACATCAGCGTGCCCGGTGGAGCTGCTAACACAGGAGGAGGACATGGGCTAAACTTAATGGGCAATATTAGATCATGCAGTATATACAAACATGCTGATCTGGATATAAAAGATGCCCCAGCTGAATGTATCTCACACTGGATAAAGTGTATTCAACTGCATCAAACACCAGACATCCTCACCATAGAGAGGAGCCGCTTGTGCTAAGTGAGGGTAATGCTGGCAGGGCTGTGCTGGGAGGGGCACAAACAGGAATTATTTTTATGCTGCTGTCTGGAAACTACACTTTACAGAGGAGAAGCTGAATAAAAATGTCTCCAGGAAAAAATTGCATTTTTCATTTAGTTTTAGAAGCCAAAAACTAAAACTGCTCTTCATATTTAACCTAGTGCAAAATGATTTGGTCAGAATGAGAAGTCAGAACAGAACTGAGCAATTGCATTCACAACCATGCTCTCAATGTTTGCAGTACAGCACACACATCACCCAGGGGTTCTGATACCTCTCTGTGCATGTTGTGCTGCAAACGTGGAGAGAAATGTCATGAACAGGTTTACCTGCACCCCTCTGTCCCCCCCCAGCTGCTGTGGGAGTCTGCCTGTCCACAGTGGTAGGTGCTGGCACTAAACACAGTGGGCAAACCAATGCAGTGGCAGGAACACCAACAATTAATGCCAAATGAGTACCCCAGGAGATGACCAGGATAGTGGAAGTGTACCTGCAATCTTGGAGCTGTGCACAAATAACATGGGCAGAAGCTGCCTATTTTGATAAGCAAAAATTAACTCGTGAAGGAAAAAAGTTGCACTTGCTGCTATTTCAATTTGTTTTTGTAGAGTGTGCAGGGGGGGAAACCCACGCATAACTAGCATAGCAGGAGCTTGAAATATTATTGCTTTGGAGCTGCTTCCCAATTTGCTTGTGAAATTCTTGTAGGTAGGCTTGCTGTTTTTCATTTTGGAAGAGGAACTCTTAACAATTGTTCATAGCAGGTTTGGGTTGTTTTGTTTGGGGTTTTTTTTCCCCAAAAAATCCCCAGCCCTGGAGCTGGAGACATTCCTTCAGCTTGATTTTCCCATTGCATGCAATGGGGAGCAATGGGAGCACAGGAGTGCCTGTAAGAGGAGGCATGGTCAGAAATCCCTTCTTGCCAAGGCTTCTCTCCCAGCTTTGCCAGCATCTCGAGCTCAGAGATGTGGGGCAGGCACCTTGCATTCATTGCCTGTCGGTGTGGGGGGAGATCCCACTGCTGACAGGGAGGGTGCTGGGCTGGGTGTTCCGTGCAGAGCCTGACCCAAGTGCTGCTCTCTCTTGCTCTGCTCTGGGAACAGCAGTCGTGTCACAGTTAGCGAGGATCTCTGTGCTGCACAGGGGGGACAAATTACAGACATACATGTTACTTCTGTCTCTGGCAGACAGCCAGGTAACTCAAGCATTTGAAAAATGGAGTAACAGCTGGGCTTTTGCAACTTGGAATATGCTGCTCTCCTCATGAAAATATTTTTATGAGTTATCCAAAACTTTGGTGTGCTTGTAATTTTAACTACTGGTCATTCTCCATACAAGTCAAACCTATAAAATGAGCAAGAATTGGTCAAAAACTTCAGCAATTCTGAATATTTCAAGTCAGAGCTTTTGAAGTACATAAAGAAATTACCTTTTACTAAGCAGTATTCTTGCTTATGGTGCTTAACAGTAATGAATCCTTAATCAACACTGATCTAAAACTATTTAAGTTACAAAGTATAAAGTAGTAAATTAAATGCAGTTACTCTTTCTGGAATACGTTACTTGGATAAAAAGAATCATTTAACTTTTAACTGAGATCTTAGCTGTTGAGAGTGCAGAAAATTCAAATAAAAGAGTATCATTTTAAGAGTTTTTTCCCTTTAGCAGTAATGGGATGTACACAAAGGAAATTCTGTTTTGGTAGTAGGGTACCACATGGATGTCCACAGGTACATTCTAGAATATCATCACTTTTAGCAAGGCTTGTCTTAAAATGAAGTCATATTCCTTTCTAGTAGTCCCCAGTTTTAACTGTGCTTTAGTTCTTGCTTGTCAATCTCACAGGTGTTGACAGTGCTGCAAACCTCTGAATTTCTTTCTTGTCTTTTTAATTCAGTATAAATATGTGAAATGGTTTCCTCTGAACACACTCAGCAATTTCTTTTAAGGATCAGCTGGGGGTTTTTAATGTCATTTTTTTCACAGTTTGAAAGTTGCCCCTGCTGTAGAAACATTAATCTTGTTTTCCCAGCTCTTTGTTGTCTGTCACTTCACAGGGCTACCTTTAGGCTCTGTATGGAAGAAAATAAACAAAATACAATTCTTCATATGGGAGGGAAAAAAGCCAACCTGACAGGAGCCGAGATAGAGATGTGGAAAGTGAGTGGCACAGAGAGGGTAGCAAAGGAATGATTCCTCAGCATTCTTTTTTTGGTGCAAGAACTCAGGGCAACCATGGCAGTGGTAAGTAGACAGTTTGAAACAAACCGTGGTATCTGTTCAGCTGAGTGTAGAATTCCCTGCTCCAGGATGTTGTGTGTGAAGCTACCTGGATTTAAAAGGTGACCAAAAAACTCCTGAAAGGAAAAGCATTATTCTCTCTGAAAGCCACTGAACCAGAAGCTGTTGCAGACTGTCAAAACTGGTCTGAGTGCACAGCTCTCCTGTTCTTTAGATTACTGTGAGCATCGGGGGCTTCATCACTGGTGTCACGGAGCTGAGTGTGGCAAAACTTTTTGTATGCTGTTGTGAGTGTATATGCTCACACACTGCTCAGCTTCCATTTTACCAGAGTGCACTAACTTACTTTTTATTGTGAGAATTGCAAATTAAAGCATGGATGCGTTCTCTGACAGAAAAAGTAAGTACATTTTTAGTCAATAACAAGGCTTCAGTCAGGAGCAGCCTGTGTGTCTGAACTGTAATAAGAAAGTTCTTTATGTGTATGTGACAAGACAAATGCTCTGCAACTATCAGAACAGAGACAGAAGGCAGCCAATACTGCTCGTGAACTTCTGCAAAGGAATGTTTATACTTTCTGATGCTTAAATTGTTTGGAGAGGAAATAGTTCTCTAGTGTTTACAAACAGGAAGAAACTGTCCAATGTTAAATATTTTGTACCCTGCTCATAATTGTCAGAACAGTTTATTTACATACCTGGTTAACTGCAATAAACTGTTGCTTAACTTCTGTGTTTCTCATCTGTAAAGTACTATTTTTGTAAAGGGTAAGATCTTTTCTATAGTTCAGATAGGAGGGTTCTCACCATTAAAGCCCTTACCAAATCAGTTGGTTTATTATGTTTGTCTCACACTACTGATATTAAATGGGTTAGATCAATGTAGACCTCGCCTCAAGCTAGAATTACTTTCTTGCAGTCTTATCTGTACATCCAGACAGCTCACAAGGCAAAGCCTGAGAGACTTAGAGCCATCTATTAAAAGCTGATTAGGCTTTCCTTGTTATTAGTCTATTATGCTTTTGATGACAAAAAATGCAGGCTGCTGTCTTGGCAATTCTCAATGGATTAATTTAGAGGATCACGTAAGTTAAGATTTTCACTTTTCAAAGCCAAATTCCTGTATCAGAATTTGGACAAGTGTTATGAATTAAAGAAGTGAACATCCCTGGCTTGAGGTAAGCACAACTTGAAATGAAGAGGCAAAGTGGTTTAGAGGAACTGGTCTGTGACCTGTTCTGATCTGATGATCTGTTCTTGTTTAAGCAGATGAACTTTGACAACATGTGAGAGAATTAAAATCTTAAAAGGCAAGTAGCAAAACCACCATGGCTGACGTGTTGCAAGATCTGCTAAGCCAAAAGTCAGGAAAAACCTCAGCAATGAAGGAAAAAGTAACTTGGAAGTTAGTTTTTGCTTACACTTGCTTTCGCATTTGTGACTCGCTGTCATAATGTGCTTACTTTGTACCTGGAAGCCCCTCTTCTAGATCTGACAGTTTTACTGTACAACCACCGTTTGCTGATTTGAGTGGTGTATAAATCTGAGGTCTGACTTCCAAATTGCTAATGAGTATTGCATTTCTCTGCTCTGGAAAGAAGATGTACAACTTGACTTCAGCACACCTTGTAGCAGAGGGGAGCACTGAAGGGTCTCTTGGAAACACACAGCTGCTGCATTCCTGGACGACGTGAAAAGTGAGAATAACTTGCCAAAATATAGTAGTATGGATAAAGAAACAGTTTAATTTCATCCTTTTCTTTACAATATAATTCAAAGACAGTCTCAGTTTCCCTATTATGTAGAGTGTAAATTAAATGTGTTAATATTTATTAGACAAATCAATGGTTTGCTTAGGCTAACTGAAGTTTTATGGTACCATCCAGGCACATGTGTGTACACAGTACTCATGTAAACAATAGCAAGGGAAAATACAAGCAGTGTCTCACTTAGGCCTTATATATAAAATCAGCTTAGTATAGCAAGTCAGCTTTACAGTGCAAATCTGAATGAGAATAAACAGGATTAAAACTTCCCGAGTTTTATTTTGAAGTGAAACCCTTAAAGCGTAAGAGGAAGAGGTTTAAAATTCTAATGCAGTCCTGAGCACCACATCATCTTCTTCAGTTTTGTAGAGGAAATGTAATTAGCAACACCAGTTACGTGTTTTTGCCAGTCTCAGTCACTGTGGCCACCGTACACATGCAGAGTGACTGGACAGAGGAACCGCACCATGGATGGCCCTGGAGCAGACTGTAACAAAGCTAAATACATTTTACTACCTCCAGAATGCAGTTCTCCTACCTGCAGTACAAACTTCAAGGTATCTATCAAAATCAGGTTAACCCAGTCTATACAAGGCAAGTTCCAGCTAAGTGTATAGACAGCAACTAAAGCTACTTTCACTCAGACAACATCTCATGCAATTACCCTGCAATTACAATGATAAACATGAGACAAAAGAGCTGCTGAAGGATACAGCTGTTGAAGTACTTAAGCTTAGTCTCTCTATTTTCTCATTGTTTAAATTCCCTTTACATCCAGGTGATACAGTTGCTTGAGGTGTGCTTGATTCATATAAAGAAACATAGAATTTAAGGCATGTTTAGTATATTATGAAAAAAAGACAATAAAAATAGGTGGACTCCCTTCTTTCCATGTAAATATAACGTAGAAAGCAAAGTGTAAGTTATTGAAACCAGCTGAGCTAGCCCATTCTGACCTGCTGAAAGAAATAAAGAGGGCTCCTGACAACCTCAAAGAGAAACAACCAGCTAACTTCTTAAACAGCTATGCAAAATTCATTTAATATAAGAACACTGCTACTGCTTTTAGACCCTGCATTCATGTACACTTAGCAGTATTTCTGTTATATGCATCTCTAAAACATTTAGTTCTATCATTCTAGACATAACACAATTAAGCAGCACTCATGGAAATTGTCAGTTATTGCAAATCTGCAAACACAGCTTTAAATAAACATCTGAGAGGGAACAGAAGCATGAATCCCAATCTTTGTCAATATAATTCAGGTGAATGAAGAGAAACAAATGTATGTTGAAAACATGATTAACTCTTCCCAAGAATAGCATTCATTATTTCAGGTACTTAATGTTTTTTCTAGGAATACAAGCAAAGACCCATGCTAGTGTTATGTAGTGTAACATGAATAGCTGAGGTATAATCTGTAAGCAGTTGCCATCAATATGCACAGGTATTCTCTAGAGAGGTTGTGTACTAGAGAAGTCAGGTCTGCCTTAACAGGACAGCTCCTGTCCCCTGCTGTACACAAACCTCCCCTGTTAACAAAAAAACAAGTCCAGAAAGTGTGTTAGGTACATATCAAGAATATATATGTTCAATAGCATAGTGACATTGTCCTTTGGGTTATACTATAGATCCTATTAGCATTTGGATATACACATACAGCAATGTGCACATCCAGAAGTAAATCTTCAAAGCCATCTTAAAAAAATAAAAGGTAAATTAGGAGTAAGCTACATTGCAAGGAGACTCTTGCAGAATTATATATTTAAGGTGATAATCTTTGAACGAAGACTTAATATAGGTACTGCATTACAAAATGGCTTGGTGTGAAATCTTCATCTCACTTTTTTCCCCACCCAATCAGACACATCTTTAGGATTGTGATTCAATGATTGTTTAGCAGCAGTTTTAGAGAACTGTAAATTCTTTTATTAACAGGCATTATAAACAGATACTACTACTTTTATTTAAAAACCATGAGTGCCACATTGATGAATATACAGCTCATGAATAACTTAAAAGTATTTCCCATATTAAAAGGCAATGCACACAGCATACAAAAAGTGTACTAAACAAAGCTATGAGGATACGTGATTGAAGTGTCTAAAATGATATATACAGTACATCATTAATGTTTTGTTTTTACTCAGTACAGGCTTCTGTACTGCTGGTCCCATCATGCCTCACTTTCCCCTGACACTGAATTTTGCACTTCTTCTTCCAAAATCGGTACAATCAGGTTATCCTTGGACATCAGATTATACTTCATCACAAACTTAGTGAACCGGTGACACAAGAAAGTTTCATTCTGGAGACGAAAAAAGGGGAAAGAACAGTATGTACAGAAGGATTATTTTAAACAATTAGGAAGGAACATAAAAAAACCCTGCTTCTATATCATTGTTGCATTAGATTTACAAGTCTTACAAAGAAACAGTCGTACTTAAATAGTAAATTTTTAACTGCTTCTTTTGTATCTTTACTGTTTGCTTAGTTAATGCAATTAATGAAAAACCTACTGAAGTTTAAGTCACATCTCAATTTAACAGCACTCAGACAAGAATATATTTAAATGTCAAATGTCTGCAATTCCTCCTACATGTACTATTGCAAACAGAACAGGGCACAACCATTCCACAGCTGTTCCAGCAACTTTAGGAGGGATTTGGCAAAGGTTTCCTTTTATATCCAGCTATACTTTGTACTTCCTTTTTATCTAACTTCTAGTTTCCCATAACAAAAACAAACAAAAAGAGGCTACTGGATGTGCACAAGCTGCCACCAGTCACTCAATTTCTTTAGTTTTACAATTAAAATTCCTTACCTTGTACAGGAAACACATATATTATATATATACACATACTAGCAGTACTAACTACATCAAGTGCTTGAATACATTTAGAATCTTGAACACAAGATGAGTTTGAGTTCTTTGTACAAAAACTCAAATTTTGATCTTTTATGTGAAAATGAAGGGAAACCATAATGAGGTTTTTTTAATTACATAAATGAATTTTTATGTGAATGTATAACAGCTTTTCAGTTATTGTAAAACTGGAATCTACCATAATCAATCCTTCAGTTGAATATAGAGCTTCTGGCAGGACTAAGATGTCTTATACAAGTAAATGCCCTGCTTTCATGATGTAATTTGAAACTACTTACTTCATATTCATCAAATATCTGCCGGTGATGAAAATAAGCGTGTGAAAATATTCTGTAAATCCTTCGGCACACTGATCCTAATTTGGCTACAGAGGATTCCTTTATGCTAACCCTGTAAGCACCAGGAGAAAGGTTACATAACACATCTAGTGAGTGAGATACACAATGACACGAGTTCTGATTGTTAAAACTGTACTGTATAGCTGCATATGACGTTTAGACTTAAGTGCTGAAGATATTTGTGTCTGTAATTGCTTATTTTTGGAAGGAAAGTAAAAATATTGGTGAAAGCTCCACATTTACAAATTGTAAATTTTTACAATTTACAAATTACAGATTGTCTACAAAAAAAGCTCTGCATGTAGTTAATCACCATCAGTTACTCCAGTGAAGGCTGGATTTCTGGTTTCCAGCATTGATGGGCAAAGAAAAAAATGACTTCCAATTGTACCTCCTTGTCAATACTGGATTCCTAAAGCAGCGTAATCTTGACTTCTCTAGGGAGGGTTCTATGATGTGAGCTGCCCATTCAATACCCTCAGTCTGTCTTGTGTGGTTGCTCTGTCCCACAGTTCACTGTTGGTGGCCTCTGGAAGCTTTCCTGCCATACTGTTTAAAGTCTGAGAGCTGCAGCATCTCTCTAAAGGCCAGCCTGTTGTTTGGGTGGGCACTACTCCCATAGAAGCCCTGTAACACCAACAGGTATTAGTGAAACAGTTTCCATCTAAAAAGCATCTTGTCAGGTCCAGTAAATGGCAAACTGTTTGAATAAGCAGTCATTCCTTGGCTTAAAAGTGGC